AATCCAAATATTTTCCTGCACTATTGCATACTGACTTAAGGTTCATTCAAACAATTAAATCCCATGTTCTCAAGATTCAAAATACATTAAGAAGGTCAGTTAGAATATGACAAAGGTATTCTGAGCCATTTCCTAAATACCTGATTGCTACTCTAAAAGCAAAGAACAGTAATTTTCAAAATGTGGTCTTTTGACCAGTACCATCAACATCATGGAAATTTATTATGAGTGCAAATCATCAGGCCCCACTCCAGACCACTTGAATCAAATACTCGGAGGATGGAATTCTGCAATGTTTTCATAAGCTCTTCAGGTAGTTCTGATATATGCTGAAGTTCAAGAACTACTGGCATGGAATAGTGTTTCCTATAAAGCAGTGATCTTCAATCCCCTATTGCCCAGCAAGTATAAAGTTGAGGGGATAGTGCTAAGTAAAATATGACAGAAGATAATTTCTGTCCTCTCTGGTCTACGTAGCCGAAGACTGAGTCCATATGGCTAAAATATTTTACAAGGGATTTTAATCAGCTACATGTATATGCTTTGGCACTCAGATGCAATTTCTAATTGATACATCAAAGTCATCTTTGAAAATGAAGAGTAAGCCCGGGCCTGTGTTGCTCAGTGGATTGAATGTTGTCCCATGCACCAAAGGTCACTGGTTTGATTCCCGGTCAGTGCACATGGGTTTCAGGCTTGATCCCCAGTAGGGGGCGTGAAAGAGGCAGCTGATTGATGTTTCTCTCATTGATGTTTCTATCTCTCACTCCCCCTCTCTCAAGTCAATAGAAACATATTTAAAAAAGAAATAAAAATGAAAATTAATATAGATATTCATCTCTGAAACAAAACAAGTATTAATTTGCTCAATAAAATATATACGTTTTAAGATAGATGGAGTTATTTTCCAGATTCCTTGGCCCTGTTCAGGAAAGATTACCACAATGAGATGAGTAAAAAAATTCAAAATTTTTTGAAACACATTAATAAAAATAACATTGTTGTACCTAATTGGTTTCCTCTGTGTTTAGCAGAATGAGAGAATTTAGGTAAGCAAACAAACCCCCTATTTCCTCTAAATGTCTTAATAATGGCTAACTTCTAGAATCTGTAGTGCTGTCAATAGGTTAATAGGCCTGGTGATAATTATGGATTCTACCATTCAAGAAGATTGCACCAGCACAGGTTTGTGAAGGAGTGAAGTGCCTTCTGCTTACACAATACAGTTATTAAATCAATAAGTTCTGTAGAGTTTCATAATGACTGTTATGACTTCCTGAAATTAAATTTTAGATTTTATGATTTTATTTTTCATGTACTTGTAAAAATTATATTGCAGATGAAGACAGTAGAACTAAGTCCTGCCCATACCATTATGCATTTATGAAAAAATGAATACAGACTTGGTATTTATTTGCAATTGATATGTACTGAAGTTATACTCATGAAATAATAAAGCTATTAAAATAACATAACCAAAATATATCTGTTTTGCTTTTGAGCTATTAGTGCTTCTGTAGGATAATAACACGATCATTCACAATGAATGAAAAATATACCTGACATCCTGATAATCACTTTATTGTTATTGTGTGATAAAGGGACAGGTAATATAGTTTGGAGATCGTGATATAAAAAAATGAAAATTCTATCTTAAGTCACCCCATATGATGGGTTGGCCATTTTATTTGTTTCAGTATAAGGATTCCCAAAACTATATGCACATTAAAAATATCACCTGAGGTGCTTTTTAAGGACAAGACTCTGGGCATCATTCCTCAAGGTTACTTTTGCTCCAGAGTTTGTGTGACATTAAAAAACCCCACAACGTTTCCATAGTCGTCAGAAAGTGGTTATGCCAAAACATGCTCTTAAGTTGTATGCAGGGAAGCATGTTGGAAATTCACTTTATAGGAGAAGGAATTTCATGGTTTGTTTTTTCCTTTAGATATTTTTTTCTAAATTGGAAAAAAATGTGCCAACATGGGGCACAGGATACTGCGCAGGCAGATGTTAACAGTGACTGCTCATGCGACTGCTTTGGGAGCCGCTGTCAACAGCAGCAGGCCCTAATTGTCCTCGTGTTAGGCAACGTTTTCCTCTTGCGCTCCGTACAGAGAGTAACCCTGTCCGCCCCAAAGAAGGTTTCAGGCATTCTTCCGGTTTGCAGAAGGAAAAGACTCACCCTGCAAAGAAAGAACAGCTGCCCCCACCCTGGTTGGGTTAAAGCGGCTGAGAGCTGCAGCATCACGCAGCCAGGCCTGCAGGCGGCCAGCACTACACAGACAGTAGGAGAGGCAAGCGACACTGTGGTTAGAAGCCAACTCATTAACACATGGCATCGAAAGCTATTTTGAGCAAGTGCACAAGCAATCATTTGCTAATTAGATTTTTGTGGCAAGAAGTGCACATCCTAGCACAGATGGTAGAGGATGAAAATAAGAAGAAACTCCGTAAAGAAGGATAAGATCTAGGTTGGAAAGTTTCCCTTAGCAATGCCTGTCAAGATTTTATAAGCAGTTCCACTGTGAGGAAAAACTGGAAATTGGCACTAGTGGGCCTTTCAAGGCTTGAATAAGCCTGCTTTAAGTGCTACATATATTTTTCATATGAAAGGGTGAATTCTGTCATTCTTAATAAAATCCTTTTCTTCTTTGTAAAAGCCCCGAGTAAAGACACTGTTTATAGATAACTGCATTGGGAGGTCTCTGCCCGTTATTTTGAGATTCCGGTGCCCAGGGGAGGCTAAGTGTAGCAATGAGCAATCTTAACATAATTCCATATTAATAATAAAGCTTATTTCTGTCTGGGAGGCTGCATGTTACACTTAGACTTGGGTTCAGGTCTTGCTTCCTCTCACATTTTATCAACCCATGTGCAATACTGATTGGGTCTGCCTAAAGCTTTTTCTTAGCAGCAAATTACAAGATATAAAAATGTAAAAGAATGAGAGCAAAGAAACTTTGTGCAGAAAGAGAGACGGGAGAATAGAAGGGGGCAAAGGAAAGGAGAGGACGAAGAAAAAAATATTTAAATGTTGGAAAGAAAGGAGCTAGGGTCCATGCTGTGCCTCTAACAGATTATATTGTTAGAAGCTAGACACTCATTTACTTAATTGACTTTTCCCTTTAAATTATGTATAAGGAATTTAGCCATCGACATTGCGGATGTTATGAAGGGAGAAGGCCCCAAGCTCAGTATTTCCAGTTTCATTATCTTCTCTAATAAAGAAGAGTCCTGTGATGTAGCCATAAGTTTGCAACTAAATTTCTAATGTGAAACCTGCACAGTTCAAGCTGGAGATTTTATCTGAAATAAGGAATCCATTTTTGATTAGCGAAGAAGCCACCCCACAACTTTTCTGGTTAGCAAGTGGTTTGGCCCACACAGTTTGTTTAAGCATAGATATGATTCATCTGGTTAATATGCAGCTTAGCAATCTATCGCTCACATTAGAGTTCAGCCACAAAGAGTAATAAAATAGTAGTAGGATTAGGAGAGATTTCTGGAAATAGGACATTTTGTATAACTTCATCCATAAATGATTTGTGGTCTTTCACAGCCACTAAAAGGAGGTAGAATTTCCCATAAGAAATCAGTAATTTCTTCACTGCTTTTCAAACAGCAAGTGAACTTAAAGTGTGAATATAACACATAGCTAAAAACACAAAGGGAATCTTCACTTTGTATTTGCTTGTGCTCTCCTAGCTCAGTGAAAGAATTCTAACAATGAGATTGATGCTCTCAAACCGTGCAAAACCCATAAATGACATGCTTTGGGGAAGAGATTTTTATTTTATACAAATTAGACCCCGTCTGCAGGGGCAGGAAGCACAGTGCATCCAAGTTCATCTTTGAACTGTTGCACTTTCACAGATGTATCCCAGTGCTTCTTGCCTGTAGGATGCTAAATAGCAAGTTCATTATTCAAAAGGCAGGCTCACGGAGGACAAAAAGGACATTCAGGGGGGTCAGGGAGGATGTAGAAAGACCTCCTTGGAGTCAACCTCACATGGGAAGAGGCCCAATCCTTAAAGCAGCATTTGGGGCCTATAAATTTAGACATAAAAGAGATCTTTTGCTTTGAAATCAACCCACTTTTATGTATATCTCATACACTTACTCTGGCAAGTGTATGAGATATACATAAGGAACAATGTAAATAAAATCTTGACCAGAAATATTCCCCGCTCTAGCTACCCTTGGGATATTTTTCTGGAGGGAGGTGGGGAGAGAATGCCAGCTGCCTGCCTGCCCTCTTGGCACCGTCTCCGGTCCTCATTCCCCAGGCGCTCCTGTTGGTTTGTGAAAGGAACTGCGGCAGCAGAAAGAGGCAGGTACAGAGCGAGCACTTGTCTGGTCCAGACAAGCAAATGAGAATAAGGAGGAAGCGCGCTGGGCTTTAGGTCTAGTGGGGGAATCAGCCAGGTAAAGGATACGATGCTTACTATCACAAACCTCATAAGAGAATCTTTCTCCTTCCTTCTTCTGCTCATGGGATTGCGAGTCAAAGATGTTGGACAAAGACACGACACATTACAGACACAGCACACAAGACGTTTTTCACAGATATTTTTCGACATGAATAAACCACCAATACCTCAAAACCACCAGCACCACAAAACACATTTCAGAATGAACACTGATATCAAGTTGGAATTGCACAATACGGCAAAAAAAAAAATCTGCACTTTGTAAACTTTAAAGATCATTAGCATATCTACTTAATTGTGTGTATATATATGCCCAAATATATATATACACTGTAAAAAGCTATTGACCATCTTCCTCATCCCATTCACACTGCTAATATATTTACTAAAGTATTCTGTTGTGGACATAATAAGAAGCTCAGCTATTAATTGGGTTTTATATTATTATCCTTTCCCGTTCTTTAGCTAAACCATGTAAAACTTGATTACGAACCTTTAAATAACAGATATGCTGCTAATGATCTCTAAGTAGGTATTTGGCAAATGTAGGCATAAAAACATACCCACCTCTTTTCCTCCCATGGATTCAAACATTTTTTCCAACTGGACCCGTAATTGCTGAATATTGTTCATCAGTATACAGGGCTTTAAGTAAAGCAAACACAAAACAAATAGTGTGAGAATCCTTTATACACTAACTTATGGGATGAGTTTGCCTTAAATGTAAGTATACAACCTATCACTGAAGCCCTATTGTATTTGGCAAAGGTAATAATTTTGTACTTTAAGATTATGCTTTTTAACAGTTAAATGGAAGGAGAATATATAACAACAACTTTGAAGAATGAAACTTAACAATATACTCAGACAATAAAGCATTGAAAAATCACTACTAAAGTTTCTTTTTAATTCTTAACATCTTGGTATTTTATACTTAGAAATTAACCAAACTCTGTTTTTTAAAGATTTATTACAAGGAAAACAGATTAGTTTAAAATTTCATTATTTCTCCCTTTTAAAAACCAAAACACTATCTGAAATTTAAAAACCAAAACAACAACAACAAACAAAACAAGAAAACCTTAAGTGGATTCTCTTAGGCTACAGACTCCACATGTTGGTATTCACGGCCCTTCATTATCTGGCTCTGAAGAGTGATTCCTTCTCATCTCCGTCTACTGCATTATGATTATTTCCAACTCTCTGCAACTTATTCCCTCCAAAATACCTGCGCTTTCCATTTGCTGTGACTTTGCTGAGTATGCGGCCTCTTCCCTTAGTCTCTGCCTACATGAATCAAACCCATCATTCAGGTTTAAGCCTTCTCTTTCCTACATTGTATCCTTCGGCCACTTACTTGACATTTGTTTTACTTTACTATACATTTGAGTTGCTTTTCACTCTCTCATGAGCTGGTCTTAAATCCACTGTATGTGTTGCTGTGCCTTTTAGCTTTTTTCCCTCCCAGAGTATTGCACAGAGCCTTAAGTATACACTTGTTTACAACATGTTTCTTTTCTTGTTTTTGTTTTTCCAAGAAGGCAGAAATATAACAATAAAAATTCAAAGCTTTGTGACAGGACTAGATGTAACCTTTGAATAGTAAGAATTAATTTATAATTAGTAAAGAGAATTCAGGAACAGTTCTAGAGTAATTTTTTTATATATTTTATTGATTTTTTAGAGAGATAGAGAGTTAGAAACATCGATGAGAGAGAAACATTGATCAGCTGCCTCCTGCACACTCCCTACTGGGTATGTGCCCGCAACCAAGGTACATGCCCTTGACCAGAATCGAACCTGGGACCCTTGAGTCTGCAGGTCAATGCTCTATCCACTGGGCCAAACCGGTTAGGGCAAATTCTAGAGTAATTTACTATTTGCTGAATACTGATCCCAAAGAGCCACTACATCAAGGGAAAGAAAAACAGGAAAGAAAGGAGAATGGATGTATCTTCCAAGTTGCTGGGAAATAAGCCAATAATGAATCAGAGAGAGGCATGCAAAGGACTCATAGGACATCAGGAAGGCATCAGCTCTCATCGGTGGAAAGATTTTATTTTTGCTTTAACCGCATTACTGACCTTTGAAAACTTTCCACTTTACTCCTCAAGTGACCACATCCTAACTTCGATTTATGAAAACGATTTTAAACTGCTTTTCTGTTCCCTTGATTACAGTCACATAAATATTTTATTGCTTAAACACTGATATCTATTTATCTCCTGTAGATGCTGTTCAGTAAGCTGAGCCACATATACCACAAATGAGCCTGATCTGCTGACATGATTGAGAGCCACTTGGTCAGGCTTAGTCCTTTCCTAGGCATGCATGGTCACATGTTCAGGAACTCAGCATCTGACCCAAAGTCAGCAAACTGAGCTAATCCACTCTTTCCCCAATAGGGAATAAGGTTATTGAGATTTTAATTTTCATTGCAGAGGGGGAAGTTTGGCTGGGATTTGGGCAATCCCACCAGCGAGAAAACTAAGATCAAAGTAAGACCATGGTTCTTAATGAGAAGCAAGATATCAGTAATTAGGGGGGAAAGCATTGAAGAAAAGAAAAAGTTAAGTTCCTAGCATGTAATATTTGCAAGGTTGTTTTTGCTTCTTTAGAAAAATTTGATTTTAAAAATTATAAAATATACAGAAAAAAAATAATACAGTAAACACTGATTTATGATTTTTTTCTCAGTTTCTAAAATATACTCTGAAACATTAACATATGAAGTGGAAGTCTGCAGGGGCCTTTAGAAAGTAATGTTCCTTTCTGAGTGACAGGAATTAGCCTTGGTAATTCAGAGATACCTTTCAAAATCTTCAATTTGGCTATCCTAATAAAATCAGAATCTTTTCTGAAATTTTCTGGTGCTGTTTTGATTTTCAGGAGGTTACTTTTCAAATGTATAAGCCTTTAATTAAAAATATGTGTTTTCAATAAATAAATGATCTTTCTTGCCCCTTAGAGTATTTATAACCAATGACAATTAAAGATATCTGCTGAGATATCAGAGTTTTAATAAAATTCCTAGGCAGCATATTAATTAAAAAGAAAGAAGAATCGCTGGGACCTTCAAAAACAATTAGAACTGACCTACCTTAATGAGCTGTCAGCAAGAGGTCAATGCGTTTTCAGGGAGAAGACTAGTGACTTTAGACTTGTCTGGTAATACTGATTTTTTTTGAGGGGTTGGGGATGGTTTTCCTCTTTAAAACAATTGCACTGATTTTTAAATACTATTTTCGGGGCTTTCTAAAAAATTCTATATTGTTACCAACAATATTTCTTCTAAGACTATGTACATATAGTGAATAAGAAAGATTTCATCTTCCACCATAAAAAACACACTATATTCTAAATCACTTTAGTTTATCTTGCTTCTCTCTATGCCTTCTATTAACTCGCAATATTGGCTCAGTTTTTATAAACATTCTCAATCATCCCCCAAATGAAAAGCTAAATTAATAATTTAGAGTGGAAATCAGCATCATTCCTTAAATTAACAATCCTTCTCAATTTATTTGAAAACCGAAAGAATAAATTTTAGTCGAAAAAGACATGGAACGTTTACTCATTTTAGTACTGGTACAAAACTAAACTAAACTACTTGGTGTCAACACTAAACAACTTTTTAACTCCCTAGTTCTCAGTTCCAATGCTTGGCAATAATGTGGGTTTTCAATGAATTGTCTTGTTCGTTATCATCTTGGAACCACAGGTTGACTGGCATTGAGATGCTCTCAACCTTCCTCTGAGTTCTGTGCTGTATCCAGCTCATGACTACTAGGGAAGTATTCAAACAACGTCTTGAAATACCTCTCAACTGTCATCCTGTATGAAAACAGAAAGAAAACAATGCCTCTTGCTTTTTTACTAGCTGGAAGAAGAGGATCTCAACAGAAGAATACTTGAAAGTAGAGACAGTTTTACTTACCACATTTTCCTTGTCACAGTAGGAACTAAAATCACTTGATACAATTGCAGCATACTGAAGCAGTACTTTATTGATAGTCTAGGAAAAACAACAACAAAAATACTGTCAAATGTATGCAGGTAAGTACATAGTTTTATATACATACTGTAGGGGTTAATGCTCATCTGGCAAACTTTCCATGTCTTTTTCAACTTTCATTAAGCAATGACTAAATTTATACTCTCACCAAAAAGAGAAAAAAAAAGAAAAAAGAAACTCAACTAAACTCTTTAGATAAAAAATTATTATACTTATGAGTATATTTAGAAGATATTCCATGTGGATTCATCCCATTTTAATATTATGTTCTGTATCTCTAACTTTAGTAAATATTCTGAAGATATACCAACTATTTTTGTGGCAACCTCCTCCATGGTTGAATACTTATTAACTAATGACCCACAATGCTCTCTTTTTTTTTCTGAATAATTGACACCTTATGCTTTGAACCATCTCTTTTGGTTTCTAGTTACCAACCTTGCACACATACACTATGCCAAAATTCTTTTGTCATTTTCTCAACTTTCTCCATTGTTCCTAAATACCCCGTTCTAAGTGGGGTCAGAATATTCTAATACATGTCACTTAGCAATAAATATTTTCAATAATTTTCTATGATAAAGAAGCTTACTGATTATATCAAAGACCACTTCTTAAAACACAAAACTTCTGCTTCTGTTGTATCACAAAATCTCTATACACTTACCTTAATTTGTTAAGTTATTTATTGATGCATTATTTGCTAAAAATACTGCCTAATCTTTCCCCTCTTTCTGTTCTTTTCACCTAATTTCACACTGTCCTTATCCATCTAATAACTATTTCTTAGCCTATAGATGCCCTCTGCTTCCATAATTATGCAAAACAGGGAAAACAAACTTTGTTACATTTTATTTCAAGTACTTAAAAATGTATTGATGACTGCATCCTACTGCTTTTACTTAGACAGCTTGAGTGATCATAAGTCAAATATGGATGTGATTTTCTTAGAAGAGAGGAAACAATAATAACAGTAGATATATGCCATTTCTTTTAATAGAAAAAACAAGGACACAAAAGCTCTTATTTTCTTTTTGTATAATATATTCATCTTAATTTTCTTTATGGCTTAAAATCAGCTCAGGGAAACACTCTAAGGAGTTAAACTAAAGGAGATATGTTTAATCTACTAAATTGAATTCACCAACTGTGACTATGTACTTGTTTTATAGACTTTTAGGATCACAATGAAAACCTGAAATTAGGGACAACATGAAGAAAGAAAATCAATATTCTGTGGAAGTACAAACTAAAATGATAGTACGTGTCCATTTAAATAGAAAATCAGCAATGGAAAATATAAAATCTTATCAAGCAGCAGACCAATAAATCTAGGGAAACAGATGGCTGATCAGACTGCAGTATCTTGCAAGTGCAGCTGTTCAAATTTTGCTTTAGATACAATGCTGAAACTTGGGGACTTACCTATGGAGTACTAATTCACTCATACCTATGGACACTACTCTCAATTTATAGGTTCCAATGACAATGTAAACTGTAAGAATCATTTCTCTAAATGGCAAAAACAAAAACAAACATAAGCATGATTTTAGGAGCTTGTTGCAACACAAACATTATCACTTGTTCAAGATAAAGTTTGGGCATGGAACCCAGACATCCATTTCTGATCATCTTCAAGGTTTACCCCAGGGTCTTACACTTGACTTTACTTCATAGGAAAACCTTAGTCCTTTGAATTTTTGCTGGGACACAACTGAACCTAGAATCTCACACCCACTTGCCTACAAATGCCAGTGGTTAGCAAGTCAGCATGGGTTGTGAGGAAAAGTGCTCAGCCATGTAGGATGCGCCCATAGAGTTGTGGGTGCACTGGCTGTAATAACGTCCATTTCTTTACTAACATACAAAGTATACCTGAATGAAAATGTATATATACATTTCAGGAGCAACTTCGATTTCACTCTAATTTATTCAACAAAATAAATCGCTATATTACTTCTTTAGTTAATACCAGTAAGTAGTTACTTAAGACACATCTACCTAAGACGTCTCCAGCAGCAAGAGAAACTTGTTTGGAAATGCAAATTCACTGATTTTATCTCAGATTAGAGAGTCAGCAATTCTGGGGTTTGGTCTCAGCAATTTATGTTTTAAAAATCGGCAGGTGATACTGCTGCAAGCTGAAGTTTAGGAACCATTGTGCTTACTAATCACAGCAGGGCAGAGGCAACTCTTCAGAGAGAAGAGCTGATGGAAGGGGCACCTAGTAAAGCATGGAAGGTAGGACTTCTGAGTGTGTCAACTTAGGTCATTATTTTATCTTTGGGGGCTACTGGGGTTCAGAAGTGGTGACAGAATATATGTAGAGGGGACAGATAGGCTAGCAGGGGCTGTTTGCATCATGTTCTATAATAAAACAGTATAAATGAAGAGAGAGTCCTGAGTTGGAGACAGTTCCCAAAGAATAAGGAATATGTGTGCATCATTCACCATAGCATCTCCAGCCCCTGGCAGCCAGCCAGACTTAGATCAATGAGTCAACTAATAGTTGATTTGTTTTTAAGTAGTACTGAATATATTATTTCATTTCTCTCCCTCTCTCTCTCTTTAACCATTAAACTACCCATACTTGTCAAGAGCAGCAGTACTGCCATAGGAACATTCAGTACCTGTATGTCATTTTACTACTTATCACAGCTTCTGGATGTATCTGCTGTGAAATTTAAAGCATTGGTTTGGCTTCTTATTCAGTCTTATACACACTTTAGTAAGAACAAGCTATCCATTTAAGTTCCATTTTAGAGTGTGAAGTCTTCTAAAATGTCTGAATATATGTATCATTAATATGTCTTCATTACAAGAGATGGTTTACATCAGTATAAGTCCCAGAAAGAGAATATGATTTCAGTATATTTTGATACAAGGAACCCAATCCTTAGAAAGATCGGGTTGTTAAGAACAAAGATCACATCTGATAAAATAAACCCCAGTTGCCTGAATTATTGCAAAATAGCTAAATAGATTAATCACATCTCATTTTTATTTTTATGATTTAAAAAATCATTCCAATAAAATAGAATCTAATTTTCAATGAAAGTTGCCAATTTTTACTTTCCCAGAAAACGTTTACATTATTTCCTTGTGACAATAATTGGGTATTATTGAATTCCCATGGATTAAAAATGTGTTACTTAATTGAAATTAATTTTTGTGCCAATAAAAGCTCACATTTCCTCAGTGACACATGGAGTCTATTTATTTTCTTTTTTCTTTGGAGAATGTGTTCACCTGAATGTAATTCTAATACAACCTTCTCCGTGACCCCCTCACCCCTTTGTCTTCCCTCCAGTCCATTTGATTATATCCCCAGTGGTGTCAACATGGTTAGGTTCAGCCTTACAGCGGGAGAAAGGTCAGAGCTACCAAGAGGTGGATGATGGGCTGGAGCCCAGGGCCTACGAGTCTCAATTCAGCTTTCTTCTTTCTCTCTCTCACCTCACATAACCTGCTACCTCACTATTCTGAGGGTGAATTCTAGTTACTTTTCTAATATCATGTGCAATTATAATAGTATGTTACTAAATATATTAACTCTGAGGTTATTAAATTCTCATACGATCCTGCTTCCACTGCATGTCCTGCAGTTCCAAGAATTGCATGTGACATGCCTTTTTAAAGCTGTATCCCTGATGGCCCCATTTTATTCTTTTCTTGGCAGTTACCCAAAAGAAAAAAGTTACTCAGAGAATATTTTGAGCAATTCTCTTGCAGAATGACTGCAATTTCAATATATTTGGAAATTGAAATCAGCTATTACCAAGAAAGTCCCCTCTAGGAATAATCCCCAATCAATGATTTTTAGCTATCATCTTTAAAAGTTGGAGGTTTTTTAGTCTTCATAATTAACAGTCGTAAAAACTACAAATATTTCATAGCAGATAAATAATGCAATACTGTTTAGACTGACAGATTATCTCCTGGAAAGCTTTCATTGGCTTTTCATTTTCTACTAAAGAAGTTCAGCCACTTTGCCCATTCTCCTTACAAATACGGATCTAACTTTCTAATCATAGTTCCACCTGCTCTCTCTGAACCCTATGCTCTGTTTTCATTGGGACCTCTCAGGCTAGAACCCCTGAGTCACTGAATGGTGGGGTTGGGCGGTGATAAAGATTCTTTTCTTTGACCAAACTCTAGCCAGGTTCCTCCATACCCCAGCCTTGGCCTATACAGACTTGAACAAATACTAGAGCTTCTTAAAGTACCTGCCTGCAAAAATGCAAGGCTGCCAAAATAATTGACTGTATATTGCAGCCAAAATCTGAAGTTGGGTCCTTGTCTCCCCACCTCTGTGGGAGGGTAGGAACCTAAATTAAATAACCACCAGGGAGCAAACCCAGATGGGTTTTACATGAACCAACACCCTGACTCTACTGAGCCCCCACTTGCCCCTACTCCCTCTTTCTCCCTTTAAAATACCCAGTAACCTCTGTATAAATCAAAATTGAGTCAAATTTATTCTGGACTCTTCTCTATTGTAATAGTATATTATTGATTAAAATCTGTCCTTACCACTTTAGAGTCTGGATTTGTTTATCTTTGATAAACACTCCTCTATAGGGTTAACCAATCCATATCTGATGTTGTATGAGCAGGAACTAAATCTTTGTTTCAAATCTTAGAGTTTCTTAGTTTACTAGTTACTTCAGCATAAACTGTCCTATCATAATTAATAAACTGTTTCCCAAGAAAGCTTTCTTAATTCCTCTATTAATGAACCAGGTTTACAGTTTTCTAAGTGCCTGGTCAGGCTCAATTCTCCACCCATAAAGGATTTCAAAATTAGACTTTTTGTGATAATACAAATGAAGTTATATACCCTTGTGTTTGTGTCTGTGGCTAAAAGCATGTTAAATATATGCATCTTTTATGGGTTGAATTGTTTCCCCTCAAAATTCATATGTTGAAACCCTAACCTCCAGAATCTTATAATGTGACTGTATTTGGAGATAATGACTGTTAAAATAAAGTCATTAGTGTGGACTGTAATCCAATCTCACTGTTGTCTTTATATTACAGCGGTTCTCAACCTGTGGGTCTCGACCCCTTTGGAGTCGAACGACCCTTTCACAGGGGTCGCCTAAGACCATCGGAGAAAAAACATATATAATTACATATTGTTTTTGTGATTAATCACTATGCTTTAATTATGTTCAATTTGTAACAATAAAATTGGGGGTCACCACAACATGAGGAACTGTATTAAAGGGTCGCGGCATTAGGAAGGTTGAGAACCACTGCTTTATAAGAAGAGAAAATTTGGACACACATAGAAAAGCCAGGGGTTCACATGCACAGAAAAAAGACCACGTGAGGACACAGTAAAAAGGCTGCCATCTGTAAACCTAGAGAAGACTCAGAAGAAAAATACAACACATGAGATATACATATAGATATTCTGGGCTCTTTTCAACCTCTCAGATACCCTGATTATACAGCATTTGACTTTGTCATAGTTGTTTACAGGTTTGGCATTTCATTTTAAATTTTCTGAGGTCAGAGATTATGCTTATTCATGACTAACATCTCAAAGGGGCTAGTCAAATGTGCAAGTGAGGCCATGAATAAGCAAGCATTTGAATGAACAGCTGAGACCTCTGCTATCATCGGACCCAGGTGGCCAGATTTATCCTTAGGACAGTAAGACAGAGGAGTGCAGGTTGTTCCCCTATATTATTCCACTAGAGGCCTGGTGCATGAAATTCATGCATGGGTATGGTCCCTAGGCTTGGCCTGTGATCAGGGTCATCTTCCACAACTGCTGTCAGCCGGCTCCACCTCCCACCGCCACCCACCCCCAGTTCACTGTTAATCGGAGCCTGCGACCGAGAAGTGGTCAGTGTGCCTCGTGGCAACTGGTTGAGCGGTCGTTCTGGTCGTTCTGCCATCCAGTCACTTTGCATATTACTCTTTTATATATATAGTCATATCACTACCCGACTTAAGTATCTATAACAATCTATAACAATAAAAGCATAATATGCTAATTAGACTGGACAGCCTAAAGACCTTCTGGACATTTTTCCGGACGAAGCTGCGGCAGTGGGGGCTGAGGCAGAGGCAGTTAGGGGTGATCAGGCAGGCAGGTGAGCAGTTAGGAGTGATCAGGTAGGCAGGCTGGCATAGGGGTTAGGGGCAATCAGTAAGGCAGGTGAATGGTTAGGGGTGATCAGGCAGGCAGGTGAGCAGTTAGGGGCAACCTGGCAGGCAGGCAGAGGCGGTTAGGGGTGATCAGGCAGGCAGGCAAGCAGTTAGGGGCGATCAGGCAGGCAGACAGGTGAGTGGTTAGGAGCCAGTGGTCCTGAATTGCAAAAGGGATGTCTGACTGCTGGTTTAGGCCTAATCCCAGAGGTCCCGTTTTGCAAGAGGGTGCAGGCTGGGCTGAAGAACCCCCACTCCCCTCATGCATGAATTTCGTGCACTGGGCCTCTAGTCTCCAAATGTTTAGTGTTTCATAAATTGTTCAAAAGTCTAAATTTCTGAACCTGGAAAGAAAGACTCTTCAAGATCTGGACCCATCTTTACTCCCCCAACCTTCCCACTGCTTTTCCCAGAACAGTTGTTTTTCCTCTTTACATGGCAAGCTCAGCTTTACCTCTTCCTCCATTCCTGCTATTTCCTTGGCTTAGAACACTTCTATAACGTCTTCTTTTTTTGGTTGAATGAGCCCCATTTTCCCATAAAACCTCTGGCTATTTCAGCTCTAATTAGTTTTCATTACCCTTGACTTACTGTAGATCCCATTATACTTGAGATCAAATTGTGTCCCTTTTCATGTAATCTTCCAATTAGTTCATGTCATGTGATCTTAATTATATATATAAAATGTACTAGGGTCAATTCATATATGTAGATATATGATTTGAAGGGTGGAGACCTCATCTTTTATTCCTTATATCTCTACTGAAACTCTTGGCAAAGTAGTAAGCATTGTGTGAGCCTTCTTAAACTCTAGGAGGAATAAGAGGTCTTAAGAGGAATCTGGTTGATCAATATAAATCTGTCAAGTAAGAATACTAACTTCATAAAATTCAAAGGAACTGCTTAGATCCACACTACAGTTACTGAGTGATATTAAATTAGAATGCAGTTGTCATGACTGCAAGTTCAATATACTTTTCAGTGTACTGTAGTGTTGGCTAAACAATAATTACAGTTTGAATATGAAATGTCAAGGCTTATTTTCAGCCCTAAAGCACCACACTTGAGATAGAAATAATTTGACCATCCATGGCAATGTCTTTAATTAAAAAGGACTGAGTCATTCATTTAAATAACGCATAGATGTTTTTAAAGATGACAAGTCCATATTCAAGAAACAAGAAGTGAAGGAAGATGACAAATCTGAAACAACAGAATCTCTTAATACTTGAATTAGAAATTAAGTTGGGATAGTGGTGTCAGGGAAGATATACTACCAAACAACAGCATTATTCAGGTTCTGTGCAGGCAAGTAATAGCATGGCACAGTTTCAGCAAAGAAAGGATTCATTCCACTTAACCTACCTTTGCGAATCTTCTCATTAAGTGAGATAATGCTTCAGGGTTAGGGCATTCCAGTTTCTTAATAATCTCAAAGCTCTGATTAAGCTGAGCAAACACATCAACCACGGAACAAGAGAAGAGGGCGTGATCAGATGTCTGCTGAAACTGAGGGGAAAGGTGAAACCATTCCATTAAACACATTAGCAGGACTGTGGACACAGTCTTCATTGTTTCACACAAACAATTGAATCTCCTATATCATGGACCTTCATATCACATACTTTCATTTTCCAGTAATAAAGTGCCTATCCATTTTTAAATTATTCATCTCCTTTCCTGGAAGATGTAGTGAAACTAATATCATGGGGCAGGCTGCTATTAATTGGTCTCTCCATTTCTAAATTGGGGAACTGCTTTTTGTTGGTTAGTTCGTTTGTTTATTTCTCATTCCCCATAAGTATTGGCATGATTTTAGCAAGCAGACTGTGGTTCAAGACTTTTGAGTTGCTTCAGAGGCACCGGGAGTGTATCTGCTCATAATTTTGGCATCTTAGAAAAGGTTATAGGACCACAAGGGAGTTTGGTACAAGTCTGTTCAACTTGTAGATTCTGACCGACTCAATAGGAATCTTGGGGCAAAAAGGTGATGGATTATTTTTTATTTAATTTTTATTTAAGCAATTTCCTAGGGTTCCGATCAGCCCTTTAAAATTGCTTTAAAAGCGCCCTGACCGGTTTGGCTCAGTGGATAGAGCATCGGCCTGTGAACTGAAGGGTCCCAGGTTCAATTCTGGTCAAGGGCATGTACCTTGGTTGCGGGCACATCCCCAGTGGGGAGTGTGCAGGAGGCAGCTGGTCGATGTTTCTCTCTCATTGATGTTTCTAATTCTCTATCCCTCTCCTTCTCCCTTCCTCTCTGTAAAAAATCAATAAAATATATTAAAAACAATAATAAAATAAAATTGCTTTAAATTTATTTTGGTCATTAGAGGATTAAAATAAACTTTAATAAATAACAACAGCCTAACAATTCCCACTAGCTTAAAGATGAGTGATGTGACTGAATCCTGACAATAAACAATCTTAAAGTAATTGAAACTCACTCCGTCTTTTTTGTCTCTTCCTAGTGCTCCATGAAGAAACTCCATTGACACATCTTCATTTTCATCTAGCCACTGCATGACAAAAGGCTCAAACCACCTACAAAATGAATATTACAAACTATAAAAATGTTATTTACATCTCATTAGCAGTGAATGTTGTTCCCAAATCTCTTCTCATTTTCTTTTTCCAGTTCAGCTTCCTTTAGCTTTACTTCATTAAATACATCTCCCTCTCTTTTACCTTCAATCTCTCTTTCTATATCTCTTTTAGTCTACAAAAATAAATGCTTTTTATTCTTTGCTACATTGCTGTAATTTTATTTTGTGTCATTTTTCCTTCTATCCGAAGCATGGTTCCTAGTATACATTTTTGGTGAGCGTTAGCTGGAAATGGGTTATTTCAGATTCTCAGTTCAGTGTCTTTATTTGCTTTATTTTTGAAGGATATTTTTGATACTTGTAGAATTCTAAGTTGACTTTCTCTCTTCAGCACTTAAAAGATATCAGTGCGTTATATTCTGGTTTTAGTCATTCTCATTTAGTCACTCTCAACAGTCAGTCAAGGGTATAGTAGCTCTGGTAAAGTGTTTCCCCTTTCTTGACCCCCAATACATTTAAAGATTTTCTTCTTGTTTTTAAGGAGTTTTCTATGATGTACCTATAGGTAGTTTCTTTGCATTTATCCTGCTTAGGATTTACAGGAGTTTTTGAGCTATGCCTCATGTTTTTAATTGGTTTTATAAAATTCATACCTAGTATCATTTAAAACATTGCTCTGGTATTATTTTTTTCTCTCTTCTATTATTTGGGGGGTCCAATTTTTTGTATGTTAGACCTCTATAATTTTACTCATATATGCCTTGCACTAAACCACTAACAGCAAATCATTTATCCACTATTATGACTTGTCCACTAAAAGGACAAAGTTGGGCTAAATTCTTCCCCTCAAGGGACATATCAAATCATGTACATATCAAATCATGGCACATACCATGGTGTTGCATGTTACCCTTCCTCCTAAAGCTCTATGCACATTTTTATATCCCCAGAACCTCACACATGACCTCAAACATTTTTGGTATTCAATGGAACTGGGTTACCCTTCCCTTCAAGATTCAGTTAATGTGCAAACATTGGAAGAGTAATACATTACGTCAGGCTCACCCATCACATTTGCAAAGGCAGTAGCACAAGTGGAGGTAGACCTAAATACTTATGATTTCTAAACTAAGCTTATAAACTGCTGTATAAATGCTGTATAAATGTGTTGTGGCCCTGGCCTAGTGGCTCAGTTGGTTGTAGCATTGTCCCGGTACACCAAAGGGTTTAAAGTTTGATTCCTAGTCAGAGCACATACCTAGGTTGTAGGTTCGACCCCCCAGTTGGGGCATCTATGGGACGCAACCAATCCATGTTTTTCTCCCACAACGATGTTTCTCACTCTCTCTTTCTCTCCCTTCCTCTCTCTCTAAAAATCAATAAAAACTTATCCTTGGGTGAGGATTACAAACAAAAATGTGTTCTATGTTCTAACTCAACAAATAAACGTATAGCACTTTGCACAGTGCCTGGCATATGGAAGACCTCCCTTGATGGAATAAAATAGAATTCTGATAAATATCAATGCATAGTATTAAAAGTCTGATTGTGTGATTACAAATGTATTTGATAGAGATATGTTTATGAAAATGTTACCTGTTTAATAATGACTTCAATTTTAATTTCTAACACATTTTTCAGGTTGAATTAAAGAAAAACATCTGAGTGTTTAGCTCAATATACAGAGTTGGGCAAAAGTAGTGAGGACAAGAAACACAGTTTATTCTTGTATTATTGTTTATTAATTATTGTATTATTTTTCAGATAAACAACTGTAAACCTACTTTTGCTTCACCCACTACAAGCATCCTCATCTTCCCAAGAAAGTCTGAGTTCAAGCACTTACACAGAAATTAATCTCATCATGTGAGCCACATCCTGTCATGTATTTCTTTCTCTTTGAGTTTAGTAATAGCCAAGTAAGACATACTTGAAGAATGCAACACAATTCAATTAAATATGGTTCCCAAAGTCCTGCGAATCATTTAATGTTAATGTTATAATAGACATGTCTGTATTCAGAAGACAACTACATGAACAGATTTCAGGGCTGCATAAATCAGGTGTAATTATGTGGGACTTTGAATTGAGAACAAACTTGGGGTTGAAAATCACTACTTACAAGGAGTATTCAGGAATGGCATCCTTGAAGGCAGGGAGTTCTCGCACATATTCATTATAAAACCATTTCACTTTGAAATGCAAATTCATATAATCGGTGCTCTTACATAACCGCTGCTTTTCATGTTCTAGAACAGATAAAATCAAACATTTAATAAAGTTTGGTTTGCCAACAATGCTGCGGTGTTCCAATTTACCTTTATTAGTAATATTTCCAAAAGGAAGAAAATCGTGTATTTGATATAAAGGCAAAGTGAATGGCTGAGGACAAACCTGAAATTTTACAAAATGTAAAAATCGTTATAAATCCTATGCCAATAGGTCAAGAAGTAATGAGAAATAATTTGAATGTCTAATGTGCCTTCCTGAAAAAGGTGAGAACTCTGACTTTGTTTTCTATTTATCTGCAAGCTCTGATATTTGTACTACTTTGGGCCTGGTAAAAGTGCCAGAAAGCATTAAAACTCTAAGCATGAATAAAACATGAATTCAACTGGGAGACATAATCCCCGATTAATACTGGATATGTGAATGAGTAGCTCACATTTCTGGTCTGGATATTTAACACTTAAAACACTAAGATAGTTGAAAATGAGAGGAAATATATCTAACTTTTAAGACAGATTATTTCTTCTTCATTTTTTTTAAGTTCAGCTAAAATTATTTTATACCCTGTGACCTTTTTGACATTTCTTGAGCAGATTTTTCTAATATGTGATGTTCTTTCTCTCTTGCTCAAAAAGTATAGCTTAAAATTGTATTTTGATCTGGACATACAGTACTGGGGAATAGAGACAAACAATATTGCTAAACATGTTTATCTATTTTCCCCAGGCCCCCAATATTAATATCTTGGCCCATTGGGGCTTCAAGTGTAGATACAACCAAATCTAAAAATATCCCTAACTATATTCAGGCTGAAAGTGTCCTCTGAGAAGCTCTGGTCAAGGTCTGTGAATCTCTTTTAAGCTAAGGGTTTTGACTTACAGTAGAAACATACCAGTACTATACCAGTACTTTATATTCCAGGATAAAAATACCAATTGAAGCAATTATATTGTTGTAAACAAACTAGAGGCCTGGTGCACAAGATTCATGCACAGGGGGTAGAGGGGGTGTCCTCTCAGCCTGGCTTGCATCTTCTCACAAACCAGGATTCCTCGGGGGAGTCTGACTGATGGCCTACATCCTTAGCAGTTGAACATCCTTAGTGCTGCTGTGGAGGTGGGAGAGGCTCCCGCCATCGCCATTGCACTTGCCAGCTGTCAACCTGGCTTCTGGCTGAGTGGTGCTCCCCCTGTGGGTGCACACTGACCAGCAGGGGGCAGCTCCTGCATTGAGCGTCTGCCCCCTGGTGGTCACAGTGTGCATCATAGCGACTAGTCGATTTGCAATTAGCCTTTTATTATATAGGACTGAGGATATCCTTACCTCTCAAAACCCGACTATAGAAAGATTTAAATCCAAGTGATAAGCAAAAGAAGAAACAACCCCAAATAGAACATTTCAAATTGTCTGAACAATAATTAAAGACAATCTGTAGAACTAAGAGAGAGAACACACACAGAGAAACAAGAGTAATAAACTAATACTCTAGAACAAACTCCCAAGCAAAATTATGAACTATGTGATATTTTGCTTCAACTCCCTCCAAATTAAATGCCACCTTTGCCCCTATCAGTGTTGTCTCTCCCCCTGTCCTTACCCCTTCTAATTTCTAGTGTCCTTTCACACCTTATGAGGAAACGTTTATCTGATAAACTCATAGATAATAATTTAATGCAATACAACCCTGAAATCCAGATGAGGGAAGTCTTTTGCCCTGGAGCCCACACATTAAGAGGGTTCTCTATTTATCACAAATGCACACTAAAAAATTAAATAGTTTCTGGCATCCTCTGTCACGTGGGATCCCATACCTGGTGCTGGTACAGAGCAAGTCAGACTCTAAACATCTGGCCTTGTAACTAACACCACCTGCTCTTATGATTAACACCCTCTAAGCCCAAGAGAAACACTTTGGACTGTCTTTTGTTCTCTATCCTAAAAACAGAAGGTGACTGTGAACAAATGCAACCAGATTGCCATTGCTGACAACAGACACAGATACTGCTTTGGAGCATGGGAAGGAATTGGAACCATGGAAGCATTTAAGTAAGAAAAAACAAACTAACTCATCAGGTTCTTCCTCTGGGTAGCATAAATACAATCAATTGTTGCATAACCAAGCATTATTTTCAAGTATTAATAACACCCATTTTCTTTTGTCTAATTCATGCATTCAAAGGCACTCGTCCAGCAATGTGGCATGCTGCAAACAGGTGTACATGCTGCCTGGAAAGAGCTTTAAATATTAAAGGATTCATATTACTCTCAAAGTTTGTGTGTATATGTATAGTTCCAGATATTACATACATGAAGCCTGGTATTGATTCTTTGCCAACTAGATGACTAGTGAAGAGTTTGTTTTTGAAATTTAGATTAAAGAAATTTAACTCATTACATTTTAGCTTTATTCAAATAATTTACATAAACATTTATATGAATAATTACTTGCATTTGTCCCCATTTTATTAACTAGTTTTAATATTTTAGAGGGCAATAGCTTTCTAAAAACTAGAAACTATATCTAAAAGCACATGGATGTAATTTAAATTTCTAATATTTGTATTTATAGTTTATTTTGAATTGCATCTTTTTATAAAATACATATTCAAATCATGTCCATTTTGAATACAATACCTTTTTTTAATCTTTTAAATGTCACGAATGTGCATAAATTGAGATTGGATGGAAAAAAATAAATGAACCTCAGGAAAAAGGCTGAAAATAGAAAAAAGTTCAATAACAAGGTATTCTTACATTTTTTTAAACAGAAAAAAAGAGAATAGAAAGGTTATATTTCAACTATTCTATTATAAGAACATAATTAGTAATTTTGCTGAAATAAAGGTAAAATATATATTTTTCTGAAGGGATATCACATTGATATGAAAGTAAGTTTATGTGTTGAAGTAGAACATTGAACACACTTTATATAACAGTTTATTAGCTTGATTTAGAAATCATAAGCATTTAGGCCTACGGCATGTGGGCCTTCACTGTGCTACTGCCTTTGCAAATGTTAGGAGTGAGCCTGACTTAATGTGTTACCTCTTTCAAGAGTGTTTGCACATTAACTGAATCTTAAAGGGAAGGGTAACCTAGTTCCATCCAATACCAAAAATGTTTACTGAGCATGTATCTTGTGCCAGGTCATGTGTGAGGTACAGGGATATAAGAATGAAGGACTCATAGAGCTTCAAGAGAAAGGGTAGCATGTGACAATATGGCATGTGCCATGTGCCATGATTTGATATGTTCAGGAAACTGGTCCATTAAGGAGATTAATTTAGCCCAACTTTGTGCTTTTAATAAATGATTCAATAGAGAAATGATTTGATATTAGTGGTTTAGTGCACAAAGTAGAATTTGAGTAAGAGGACATGTGTTACATAAAATAAGATTTCTAATTTATAAGAAATACTACTCAATATGTATTTGTCTCTTTGTGAAATGAAATAACTGTGCTTTCAATTAAAACCTTGGGTTTTTTCCCCTTCTCTACTTATATTTTTACATGTTTTATTATTAGGTTTGAGTGAACCTTAAATTCATGCTGTGCCTTAAAAGCAAAAGGGTCATCATCCTGGCCAGGTGGCTCAGTTGGTTGGAGTATTGCCCATACACCAAGAGCTGGCCGGTTTGATTTCCAGTCAGGGCACTTCCCAGGTTTGGGCACATACAGGGAGCAACCAATCCAAGTTTCTCTCTCTCTCTCTCTCTCCCCCCCTTCTTCTCTCTCTAAAATCCTATATAATAAAAGGCTAATATGCAATAGACTGAACGGTGGAACAACCGGTCACTATGACGTGCACTGGCCACCAGGGGGCAGACGCTCAACACAGGAGCTACCGCCTGGTGGTCAGTGTGCTCCCACAGGGGGAGCACCCCTCAGCCAGAAGCCAGGTTGACAGATGGTGAGTGCAGCGGCAGTGGTGGGAGCCTCTCCTGCTTCCACGGCAGCACTAAGGATGTCCTACTGATGGCTTTACCAGCCGTGGGCAAACTACATCCCCCAAGGGCTCCTGCCCGTTTGAAATGAATAAAACTAAAAAAAAAAAAAAAAGACCGTACCCTTTTATGTAATGATGCTTACTTTGAATTTATATTAGTTCACACAAACACTCCACCCATGCTTTTGTTCCGGCCCTCTGTCCAGTTTAAGAACCCATTGTGGCCCTCGAGTCAAAAAGTTTGCCCACCCCTGTATTTGCTATAATGTTAAATAATTGAAGATCCACCTGGTTTGCAAGAGGGTGTAGGCCAGGCTGAGGGACCACCCTCCCCACCCCAGCAAGTACAGAATTTCATGCTCCGGGTCTCTAGTCAACTATATTTATACAAGTGGCCCAGTGCACAGATTCATGCACATTGAAAGGAAATTAATTAGAAGAAATATTTTAATATTGCTATTTCCCCTTTCTCTATAATAGAAGTATCAGAGATGAAAGAAAATTAGTAAAATGTATATGAAAATAATATATAAATTGCTAAATAAATAAACACTAACAACATGATATAACAACAGCAAAGACATGACATAAAAACAAAAACATGATATAAAAACAACAAAAACATGGTATAAAAACAACATTGATAAAAACAATGACTGATAAAGTGATTAAACTTATTCTAATATATCCCTGTACACCACATTAAGAGTAAAAAGACTTTCAGAGTGCTTGACTAATTTCCCTTGTGATGAAGTATTTACAACTTTAACTGTAACATCATATGCTCTTTGAACTCCCGAGAAAGCAACATATAGCTGACCATGTCCGAAAATGGGTTCAGGTAGGAATATTCCTACTCTCTCTAGAGTTTGTCCTTGTGATTTATTAATAGTCATCACAAATGCTGGCATCACAGGAAACTACCTTTGAATTAGTTTAAATGGGAGGCCAGTGTCAGAAGGGGACAAACACTGTGCATGCATGAGTCAACGTTTATTTTTAAATTGCCAGTGCGCATCATATGTACCAGCCAGTCAGTTGGTCAGATGGATGGTCGGTCACTTAGCCTTTTA